GGCTGCAGTCAGCCCCTGCCCCGCTTCTCCCAGGTCCCAGCTGTAGCTGTGGGGCCCGTCTCACTGAAAGCTGCGCTTGCTGGCGCTCTGATTCCCCCCAAGCACATTCTCCGGGCTGCAGTAGGGCAGTCTGTGCCCTGCGGGGCCCATCAAGGCAGCTCCAGCATCTGCCATGCTCTGGCGGGGCTCTGGGCTCAGCCCCGCCAGCAGAGCCCCAAGGAGGGTGAAAATTAAGTGCATTTCGCACTGGCACCCTCAGCCCTGCCAAATCCCTTCCCCGTGACGGTGTAAGTGATACGGGACTTCCTAGAGCCTCCCTGGCCGGCTGCCTGCACCATCTGCTCGTGTCACTTCGGTAATTAACCAGCGCTGCCCGCAGGCTTTGCCCGCTGACAGTGATGAACGAATGGCAGCGCAATTCCCCACGGCACGGCCTCACCGGGCACCGTCTGCATTCGTATTCATTCCCGAGCTTTGCGGGAACAGTGCCTGGACCAGCTGAGGGTTTGTATGCCCAGGTCCCCACTTGTCTGATGGGGCTGGAGGAAGCTGTGAGCGGGGAAGAGGAGCCAGAGCTGGCTGCGATACAGGCTTCCTTTGCAAGCCAAATTTCTTCTGTCGAGCTGCTGTGGCCCTACAGAAATGGCATGGCATGTGCTTGGGGCTGTGCGTGCGTCAGAGAATTAGCTAGTAAAGGTCAGCTGCAATGGAAGAGGGGCATAAGCCTTTGTGTAGTTTATGGAGATAAGCTGGAGCGGTGAAGTTGGGCTCCAGGTTTCAGACAGCTTCGTGCTGTGCATGTGGAGAGGGCGACAGAAACGGGAACGGAGAGGTTGGGAATTGCTCCTTCTGAGATTTATGGGTCATTTGTATGACCTGTAATTTATAAGCCCCCATGGTCTACCCCCTTCCGTAAAGAAAATCAGAGCTGATCCTCAGGTTCAGCCCTATGTTTACAAAAGACTTTTCAACCTCTACTGAGGTTGCTATGGAAATCGCACTAGTTTGTGCCTCGTGTTTGTCTTACCAACCTGATTTGTAAAAGAATGGTGTGAATTTAGGGTTGGCTGAGTTCCCAGCTGGCCGAGCTGGCCCTGGAAGGCATCCTTGCAGTCACAGCCCTGGCTGGAGCAATGCAAACAGCTTCCCCCATGCTGTCTCCCAGCTCACGAGCTCCTGTGCCCACAGCTCTCCCTGCCTCCGGTCCTCTTCAGCCCACCAGGAGAGAAACCAGATAGTGCCAGCCTGTACTCAGCCCCTACCCGGGAGGCACCCACCCCATCTGCAGAGGCCAGGCGGGTACATACCCCCGTCCTCTCTCAGTCACTGCAGAACGTGTTTTAGAAGCAGAGTTGCTGCAAATTGATTTGATTTTCCTCTTCCCTCCCCTCTGCTGAGTCGTGAGCACACCACAGGCCAGTTTAGCTCACTAGCCTGTAAGGTGTCAGCCTGTTTCTTCCCCCTTGCTGTCATGGCTGCCTCTCCAAAACAGCTTCCAAAAGGCAGGGGTGTGAGTGATAGGCTGTTGGGTATCATCAGCCCTCTCATGCCAGTTCCCACAGGAGGAAGGCAGAAAGCCAGCCATGCCTGCAGACATTGCGACAGCCTGAGGGCTGCAGGGAGCAGCTGGGCAGCTCAATTTCCTTGCCCGAACCATGGCTTGTGCCCATGACACCTCACAGCTCTGGGAAACAGCAGGCAGTTGCCTGTCATCCAACAGAGCCCACGCAAACAGCGTGGGGAAAGAGACCTGGGAGCATCTCACTCTCAAACTGCACGTCTAGGGAATTGGTGCAGACTCTTGATGTATTATGGATGTATTACTTTAAAAATATATCTACCTGGGGAGGGGGGACAAGACTATTACTTGGGTCATACAAAAATATAGGAAATATTTCATCATGCCATTAAAAAATACAAAGACCATGAAATCAGAGTGCTGGGCTGGGATCCGGGCAGAACGGGGCTTATTGGGGCAGTGGATTTGCATTAGAACAGGGAAGTTTTCATATTTCAGCGCAAACCAAACACAAAATTCAGCTCCCTGGGCTCTATCAAAGCAGCTCATTTGTCTTCCGGAGCAATGGCATTCTGAGAAGCTCTCGTACCAAAGGGAGCCTTCTGGAAGCACTGTGAGCCTTTGCTGAGAAAGACCCTGTGCGTCAGGCAGGCCAGAGCAGCCATGGAGAGCTCAGACGCCGGTGTGAGAGGTAGAAGGCTGTGCTGGTGAGCTCCCTTCGCATTTTTGCCCTCTTCATAGTATCTGCCAAGGTGCAGCTCAGCGCCAGCATCCCCACAGACCAGTCCTGTTCCGTCCCTGGGCAGAGGGCATGGCTGGCACACAATTCAGCCCACACGCTGAGGCTGCTTTCCCCTTGTCTCACTACTAGATCTCTGCGTTTGATGCAAAGGGCTGTTGTGTCCTGCCCTTGCCCTTCCAGGAACCCTGTGAAAGGAAAGGAAAGCATAGTTTCTAGCAAGACTAATGCCTTAATTAGTCAATTTGCTAATATGCTGAGGTGTGAATGGCTTACAGTGAGGCAGGAGGAGCAGCTGTCACGCAGGCACAGCCCTCATCGCCTGCCTTGCGGGCAAGGAAGGAGTCCGTATGCAAGGGATGTCACCTCCCCAGCTCCTGATGGATGAGCTCTCCAGGACGGGTGAACAGGCTCTGGAAGGAGCCTTTTGGGGAGGGAATGTTTTTGTGAATGGTTCATGACACAACCATGGCCTGATTACAGAGCTGAGCAGCTCCGCCACCCCCCCCAAAAGCCATGTGCTAGCTGCGTCTGGAAGCCGTGTCTGTCATGCTGCTTAGCTGTGACAGTACAGTCTGGGACAACATACCAGTTTTCCCGGGGGATCCTCAGCAGCAGAGAGCACACCAGAAAGACATACAATGTCAGAGTGTGAGGCACTGCCTCCCAGGCGAGACGAAGGCACAGGAGGGGGGAATGACACACTGCGGGGAACTTGGCTGCTAGGAGATGCTAGCACAGGACTTTGGCGAGGGAGGTTCGTCTTCACTCCCCTGGGCTGCTAATTCACTATTTTCTGTGCTGCTTTGGGGGTGGAGGCATTCCGACTTGCACCAGTTCCAAACCAGACAAAGAAAAAAAACAGACTGGGAGGAGAGAAAACCCTGTCCTGTGCAGCCTGGACCCATCCTCCACCTCCCTCTGCTCAACAGTGTGAAGAATACCCCTCTCCTCCACCCTCAGTGCACTAGACCAGCTCCGTCAGGCAGAATCAGTCTGAGCCCAGCCCCAACTGCCTTGAAATATCAATGAGATCTACACACATGTGACATGACAGCATCCTTCCCCGCTCTTTTTTTTTTTTTCTTCTTTTATGTAGCAAATCCAGCAAAGCCCCAAGCACATAGTCATGTGCTGTCCTTTTTGCAAGTGATTTTATTTTAAAACTGGAACTCACGTTCTCCATTTGTTTAACAAGTCCTTTTTTTTTTAAATAAAATTAATTTATTCTACAGAACAGTAAACTCTTCCAGACTCTTCCCTATTTACAAATTAACATTTTTGCTTGCAGATCGTTGCTTCCCCCTCCTTTTCCTACCCTGTGACACAGAAGGTGAAAAACCAGGCAACATTTGGCAGCCTGTAAGGCAGAGCTCCCAACCACAACCACCTGGCTGGCCCCTTGGGACCTCAGTGAAGAACAACAGTGACGATGTCTGTGCCACACCTGGAGGTCATCCCCTTATTCACCGTGTGTGTGAAGGAAGAAGGTCCATGTTAAATCCATCAA